ACCCAGGAGGCGGAGATTGCAGTGAGCCAAGATCACGCCACTGCACTCCAGCCTGGGTGACAGAGTGAGACTCTGTCTCAAAAAAAAAGGAAAAAAAAAGAGTTTAACGATTTAGGACGGTCTGATTTGATGGTAGTTTACCAAATATTTTAAATTTTGATGGACCTATAGAGAAATTAGTCCATTGTAACTTTATTTTTTGCAGAGAGTTCACATATAAACCAGTTGCCTAGCCTCACTATGAGAAAAGGTTTGAAAGTCTCCAGTTTCCTGTCACTTCAAGTCTATTTCCTTTTTTTTTCTTTATTTCTTAAAAAAAAAAAAAACACTTAAAAAATGGGGTACATGTGCAGAACGTGCAGATTTGCTACACAGGTATATGTGTACCGTGGTTTGCTGCACCTATTGACCCGTCCTCCAAGTTCCCTCCCCTCAGTCCCCACCTCCCAATGGGCCCTGGTGTGTGTTGTTCCTCTCTCTGTGTTCATGTGTTCTCAATGTTCAACCCCCACCTATGAGTGAGAACACGTGGTGTTTGGTTTTCTGTTCCTGCATTAGTTTGCTGAGGATAATGACTTCTAGCTTCTTCCATGTCCCTGCAAAGACATGATCTCATTCCTTTTTATGGCTGCATAGTATTCTATAGTGTATATGTACCACATTTTCTTTTTCTAGTCTATCATCGATGGGCATTTGGGTTGGTTCCATGTCTTTGTTACTGTAAATAGTGCTGCAATAAACATATGTATGCATGTGTCTTTATAGCAGAATGATTTATAATCCTTTGGGTCTATACCCAGTAATGGGATTGCTGAGTCAAATGGTATTTCTGGTTCTAGATCCTTGAGGAATCGCCATACTGTCTTCCACAGTGGTTGAACTAATTTACATTCCCACCAACAGTGTAAAAGTGTTTCTGTTTCTCCACAGTCTCACCAGCATCTATTGTTTCCTGACTTTTTAATAATCACCATTCTGACTAGCGTGAGATGGTATCTCATTGTGGTTTTGATTTGCGTTTCTCTGATGATCAGTAATGTTGAGCTTTTTAAAATATGTTTCTTGGCCACGTAAATGTCTTCTTTTGAGAAAAGTCTGTTTCCTATTTAATATTAGGTTCATGATCTTCAGAAGCCCTTGGATCTGGGTCTCCCTTTCGGAATTGGAAGAGAAACACTCACTACCATTATTTCTGTATTTTTGGCCTAGTGAAGAGAACTTTCAGCTAGCAATCAGGAAACCTGAAAGACCCACTTCTTTTATTAACATGAAAACGTTATCCAAGGAGCATTATCTCTCACTTGTTTTGTGAACTTGTTGTGAGGAATTTACAAAATCCTTTAGACAATGTGGAGTTTTAACACAATTTGAAATCCTAAAGAAAAAGGAGCCATGGAAGAGACCCAAAGGCTTACATTAGAGGGAGCAAGTGTGCTCTTTCAAGTCATGGGAGGAAGCCACTGTGGTTCCAAGTAGGAAAAACCAATCTAGCGTCTTCTTTTAAATGAAAATTTCTCCTATGAAAATCTGGCTTTCAGCCTGATCTGGGATGGTGCCAGTGAGTGGGTAGGCAAGGAAAAGGCAGCGAGAGGTAGCTAATTAATTAGTCAATCAAAAAGTATTTATAGATTCTCTAGGTATAGGGCACCATGCTGGACTCAGTGGGAGATGCAAAGAAGAGTAAGATCCAACCTCAGCCCCTGAAAAGCTTGCAGCCGGTCTCCTTGGGAGACAAGGTGTACGTGTGCTGACAGGAAAGAAAGCACAAGGCAGGTTTTTAATTGGGCAGTATGTCTCACAGATGCAAAATAGGTAATCCAGGCAAATAGGGTGTTATTCTAGGCTTATCACCATTTACATTGTGCCATGGAGTGTCAATGTTCAAAGCATCTATGAAAGCTGCTTTTGTAACTGGTTCGATTAAGCTAGTTAAGGGCTTAACAGACCCTTCACCACTGAGCATAAGATGGGTTGGGTGAAGAAAATATGACGGATGAAGGAGTGCTGCTGTTTTGCAGAAATGACCCCAAAGAGATTGGGCCTTCACACTTTGCTGTTTAGAAGCAAAAGAGTCATTGTAAAAATGTTCAGAGGGAAAATATGTGATGAAAAACACGAATTACATACCACAATTTTCATTTTATGGTAACCGCACCTTCATGTAGACTTGAGAAAACTCTTTTAAACATGTTGGAGGAATAAGTACATGGACAGAGGAAAATGAAATGTTGGGGACAAAAATAAGGCTATACTGACCTGAAGTTTTCCGTTAGTCATTTCCATTGACCAGATCTTCTAGATGACTGCTTGACATTTCAAATATAACTATTCCCGCTGACAGCAAAATGAGATGGGATGACTTAGCTAACGTTTATTATTGACCATGTTCCAGACTTTCTCTACCTTTATACTTCATGGCAACCCTGTGTATAGTATACCTCCTGGCTCAGATGCAAATAGTCATAATTGTGTTAACTCTGGATACTGATCACACAAAAATTGTGATATAACACTATTGGGAGGACAAGACAATAGGCAATGTGCATGTAGGTAGTAGTGGGGACTGAGCAAGGAAAAAGTAAACCCTTGTATTTTTGGTGGGAACTCAGTAGATAATGGCCCAAACTGAAGAAAACCAAATAAGACACAGAGATAGAGTCATGTTATTTAGAGATAAGGGGGAGGTGGGGGGTGATTATCAAAGACACAGTTAAAATAATTAAAAATGATTGGCACTTATGACACAGAATGGAAGAGTGTAGAACTATTGATTCTTTAAATTATGTGCATGTTTAGCTTTGATAAAAATAAAAATTAGACTGGGCGCCATGGCTCATGCCTATAATCCCTTTACTTTGGGAACCTGAGATGGGCGAATTACTTGAGCCCGAGAGTTCAAGACCAGCTTGGACAACATAAGGAGACACTGTCCCTGCAAAAACTAAATTTAGAAAATTAGCCAGATGTGGTGGCATGCCCTGTAATCCTAGTTACTAGAGAGGATCTTTGGTGGGAGGATCCCTTGAGCCCAGGAGGTGGAGGCTGCAGTGAGCTATGACTGTGCCACTGCACTCCAGCCTGAGAAATAGAGTGAGACCCTGTCTCAAAACAAAAAACAAACAACCTTGAAAAGTGAGGGGAAAATTCAAATAAGAAAAAAAAAAAAAGACCAAAAAGGAGGATGGGTGCACTTCTCATTATAATGACACTCAAAACAGAATACCAAAAAAAAAAAAAAAATTAATTCAAAAAAAGGAATTAAGATTAATCTCAAGTACAGGTTTTCAAAACCTGTTTTTTTTTTTTTTTTTTTTTTTTCTGAGACAGAGTCTCATTTTTTCACCCAGGCTGCAATGCAGTGGGGTGAACATGGCTCACTGCAGCCTCGACCTCCCAGGCTCAAGAGATCCTTCTGCCTCAGTCGTCCAAGTAACTGGGACTATAGGCATGTGCCACCACAATCAGCTAATTTTTCAATTTTATGTAGAGATGGGTTTCGCTATGTTGCCCAGGCTGGTCTAGAACTCTTGGACTCTAGCAATCCACCCGCCTCCGCCTCCCAAAGTGCTGGGATTACAGGCGTGAGCCACCGGACCCAGCCCCTAAAACAAATCGTGAAAAAGAGAAAGTTGTGCGATGTTATGTTCCTTCCTCTTTTTCCCCACACACACTCACACTCTGGTCAGGTGTTTCTGTGTATCCTCTGGCCTTTCCTTGCTGTCGGCTTCTACTTGAATAGGATGACTAGCGACGATCTGGAGGACCAAGTTTGAGCTGTGTCATCTAACCCAGTCGCTTTATTCTCCAGCTGTGAATCTGGCTTCTCTTTGTTCCTCACTGGGTTCTTAGAATATCTTCTTTCCTACCATCTTGCTGTATCCTCCTATTCTGCTGGCCTCCTGAACCAAACTCCTCGGTCTATCCCCCTGGCTCTGACTCATTCCTTACCCTGACCTTGCTGTCTGTATTTGCTTTGACTACCCTATGAGTTTCCTCAACCTAATTCTTAATCCCTGGCTGCCACCTCCTTGTCAAAACTTGGCTAAATCCACTTTGGAATGCTAAGGCGGATGGGACTGCCTGGGAAGAATTTGGAGAATCTGCGGGTCTGCTCTTTCCTCATTCTTGAGAGCCAGGCTAGTGGCTGAGGGTATACGGAGAGAGAGAGGGAGAGAGGCAGAGAGAGTTTGGAGAGAAGAGGGCATGATCATGCCGACCATCCTGGGCCCCATCAGTCTCCTTGGGAATGCTATACCCAGACTATCTCCTGGTATAGTCTTTCTTTTATTTATTCTTCATTTTATCTTAGAAACTGTTCTGAAAGTTTTAAACCCAGAGACATCTCTCCAGCTTCCTTGCATGAGCTGTATTTTGACCACTTTAGAGACTGTGGCAGAATTTCAGTCTTGCTCGTGGTGATTTTACATGGAGTGACATCTGAGTCGCTTTTCGACTGCATTCCACACCAATCTGTCCAGCCCTGCAGCTTGTGGGCTGACTCCTGTTGTCTTTCAACATACGGAGCACTATGAGATAGTGCGAGTTTGGGTCTTGTCAGGGAGTCTGATTAAGCCACAGTCAGAGACGGCAGTCCTAAGTGTGAAATGTAACAGGCCTTCTCAAGACAGCTTCATCTGTGAACTGCTGGAGGTGGCTGGTGCCATTCTGTTAGGAATAGGAGCTTGCTAACAAAGCAAACATTTTTTTTTTCTGTCGCGGGCTAGGTCTATGGTGGTAACATTTGGCAAGTTGAGTAACAGGGAACATAGATAACTGTGAACAGATGGGCAACTATTAAAAGATTTCAGGGGCTTTCATCATTTCTCAAATGGCCTTCACCCACCTACAGGATACCCAGTTCCCTTGCAAGAGGATTACGTAAAGGATTCAATTACATTTCTCTTTCCTTTTTTTTTTTTCTTCAATTGCGATGGAAGCACAAGCTCTGACGTGAAGAGGAAAAGAATAGATGAGAAATTTCTAATTTTGAATCCCCTTAGGATTAGATGCTGATTTCAGCTGTGCAGAGAACACTGCCCCATATTTTGCAAGAGTGACTGTTGCCAGTTTCAGGAGAGATGACTTTCCAAAATAGACAGTAAACTCCGCCCTCCACAGCCGATGACCATCTGACATTCAGACAGAATTACAGAGGTATATAAGCTTTTGAAACTTTTATAACCTTGCTTTTGAAAAACGGCAGTGGCACGTCATCACTGCGTTTAAGCTCAAAACTGATGGACTACAAAACACATAAGAGAAATGTATTGCCTGGTCCCCTGCAGAAACATAAAATATTTATCCATCTGAGAGCAATTAAATGTATTTCCCCCTGCTTTAGGACAGCAGTGTCTCTGATTCAGAAGCATGCTGTTCCTCTTTTGCTCAGAATGATGCTTGGAAGGTTCTTAAGAGGGAGAAGAATTCCAGGCACTGATTAAGAGGAGGCGTGTTGTCTTCTCTTAAGGGGCAGCAGCCTGATTTTGCCAAAAGCAGTCATAAGTTGATGTGGCCGGGGTTAAGGTGGCTATAAGCTAGATCTCAGGAATCTGAACAAATTAGATTGGGTTTCACTCCTCAGAGGTTGCCTTAATGACATATAGATTCTAGGGCCAATAATCTTAATATAAGTTTACAATTTTAGTGGGTACTTACCCTATGCACAGTCATTTAATTTTCTGTTTGGAAGCAGGAAGCATGGATACCCTGCCCCCTCGCCATTTTTTTTTTCTTCTAGATGGCATCTTGCTCTGTCACCCAGGCTGAAGTGCAGTGGTGTGATCTCAGCTCACTGCAACCTCCACCTCCTGGGTTCAAGCAATTCTCCTGCCTCAGTCTCCCGAATAATTGTGTTTACAGGTACCTGCCACCATGCCCGGCTAACCTTTTTATTTTTATTATTTTATTTTATTATTTTATTTATTTTTGAGATACAGTCTCTCTCTGTTGCCAGGCTAGAGTGCAGTGGCACAATCTCAGCTCACGGCAACCTCCGCCTCCCGGGCTCAAGTGATTCTCCTGCCTCAGCCTCCCGAGTAGCTGGGATTACAGGCATGTGCCACCATGCCCAGCTAATTTTTGTATCTTTGGTAGAGACGGGGTTTCACCAGGTAGGCCAGGCTGGTCTCGAACTCCTGACCTCATGATCCGCCTCTCTCAGCCTCCCAAAGTGCTGGGATTACAGGCGTGAGCCACCGCACCTGGTCACCCTGCCCCATTTTTATCTCCAGTCCTCTAATCAGCTTCAGTCCCTATTTATCCCAGCCAAGAGTACTGGGTAACTGAAGATCCCTGTCTCTACAAACCACCCCACCGAAGACTAAATTTTGCTTAAACATAACCAGCAGCCTTATAAAAGGAAAATAACCATTTGTCATATTTTAAATTAAAACCCTACATTCAGAATAATTATAATTTAAAATAATTCAGCAACAGAAACACCAAAACAAACCAATCAGTAATAAGTGGAAAACAATTAGCTCTTGGAGGTGATGGCCTCTTTGTCTGCTAAATGATGCTCAGGTTCATAAACTCAGTTCTCCTGGATTGGGCTGTTTGGTTTTATGTAATTGAGTAAACAAGGATTATCAGTGGGTTTAGTCTCCCCGGAGAATTTTACTTTAACAGAAGGAATTATCGAAAATACTGAAAATATGTTGCCACCATTAGCAGAAGAAGAGCTGGCAATATTAATTTTTCCATATATGTTTTGTAGGCTTTTAAAAAGTAAGTACTGCACATAGATTGTGTCATACAACAAAGAAACATCCACGCAGGCACTTGGAAGCAGTATAAAGGGAGTGAATATTTGTGTATTACATACTGGCCTTGTAATAATCACCAATGGAATAGAAAATAAGCTCAATATAATGCCGATTTGTTTTTGGTTCCAAGATTTAGGTTCTTTTGAATTTCACGTATTTTTCTGATATTTAGAAATACTCTTTAGGTAAATAAAAGACGCATGCACACATATTTATAGCAGGACAGTTCGCAATAGCAAAGATACAGAACCAACCTAAGTCCCCATCAACCAATGAATGGATTAAGAAAATGTGGTGTATATGCACTATGCAATACTAGTCAGTCAAAGACAGGAACAAAATAATGTCTTTTACATTAACTTGGATGGAGCTGGAGGCCATTATTCTAAGTGAAGTAGCTCAGGAATGGAAAACCAAATATCCTATGTTCCTCACTTATAAGTGGGAGCTAAGCTATGAGGATGCAAAGGCATAAGAATGATATAATGGACTTTGGGGACCTGGGGAAGGATGGGAGGGGGATGAGGGATAAAATACTACACATTGGGTACAGTGTACACTGCTCGGGTGATGGGTGCACCCAAACCTCAGAAATCACCACTAAAGAACTTATCCATGTAACCAAAAACCACTTGTACCCACCCCCAAAACTGCTGAAATTAAAAAACAACAATAATACATACAATTTCATGGTTAAAAAATAAAAATAAAGCCATCCCCAGTGATTGTGTCTTCCTCCTTGCTTTTTTTGAGACTGATGGTGTCAGTTTGCTTATTCTCCCTGATGCTCATGCAGCCTCCGTTTGTGCCTGTGCTTTTCCAGAATGGCCAACATGCAGGGACTAGTGGAAAGACTGGAACGAGCTGTCAGCCGCCTGGAGTCGCTGTCTGCAGAGTCCCACAGGCCCCCTGGGGACTGCGGGGAAGTCAATGGTGTCAGTGGAGGTAGGGTCACAAACTGTTGTCATTCCTGGTCTTCTTGTGGGTCACTTCATTTTGTTTCCATCATTTCACTCTCAAGGAACATTTCTATTATCCTTCAGCTTCCCTACCCCTTCCATTGTATGTGACCATAACATTAACTAGAGGCAAGCAATCCTGAAAAAGAGAAAGGAAGAAAATCTTTCAACCCACAATCCACAAAAATTATCAGTATCTGTGCCTTTTAGAGACAGGGTCTCCCTTTATCACCCAGGCTGGAGTGCAGTGGTGCAGTCATAGCTCACAGTGACCTCAAACTCCTGGGCTCAAGCCATCTCCCCACCTCGGCCTCCCAAAGTGCTGGGATTACAGGTGTGAGCCACTGTGCCCAGCCTCAGTGCCTCTTAAGAGCATATTCATCTTTCGTTTAGTGTTCATACTGCTGTCCGGCACTCAATGACTAAATATATTATCTACAAAATTATCAAAAAGGAAACTAATGTTCTTGATTAGAATGTAAATTGGAAGGAATTATCATTCTGTAGATTTTCATTTTAAAGAGAACAAATCACTAAATTTAGGAACTCAAGTTTTGAAGGAAGCTAGTGTTATGCAAAGACAAATATGACTGTGATGTAACATAGCTACGTCATGGTGTTTTACCTTTGCCTATTCCTAACCAAATATTTTTTTTTTGTTGTTTTTTGTTTTTTTTTGAGATGGAGTCTCGCTCTGTCACCCAGGCTGGAGTACAGTGGCATGATCTCGGCTCACTACAACCTCCGCTTCCCGGATTCAAGTGATTCTCCTGCCTTAGTCTCCCGGGTAGCTGGGACTACAGGCGCCTGCCACCACGCCCAGCTAATTTTTTGTATTTTTAATAGAGACGGGGTTTCACCATGTTAGCCAGGATCGTCTCGATCTCCTGACTTCGTGATCCGCCTGCCTCGTCCTCTCAAAGTACTGGGATTACAGGCGTGAACCACCCTACCCGGCCAACCACATATGCTTTTAAAACTATATCCTAATACCATACTGTAAAACATTTTTTAATTATATAATCAAAACTAAAAAGTTGGCTACTTTCTCAAAAAGGGTACCACATATGGCAAACTCCAAATTATCTACAATAATTTTTCCAATTCCTTCTTGAATAAGGGACAAAGAAAAATTACAAATAATTTACTTAATAATTTTTTTAACAAATAAAGGACAACCAATTAAATTTGAATTTCAGATAAAGAACACTTTTTGGGGGGTTATAAAGATGTTCCAAATACTGCATGGGCTATACTGCGTGTTATGCACCTACATCTAACATTTATTCATTGCTTATCTGAAATTCAAATTGAACCAGGCAATCTGCACTTAATATGGCAACTCTGTTCTTGTCACATGGGCTCTTCCTCCTTATCTGACCCATATGGAATCCTGTCAGGTTTTTTTGGGCTGAGAAAAGCCGTGGGGAAGAAGGGACTTCAGAAAAAGCTTTCACCAGGAAATAACTACATTGGTGCTTCTAGAGTTTCAGGCGAATTTGGACCCGTGCCTGTATTACATACCATGGGACAGAAATTACTGTGTGAGCACAAATGTGCTGGCTGGTTTATTTCCCCCCTGAACATAATGAAAATTAAAATGCTTTGAATGAATTGAAAGGGGGTGTTGTTTTAAGGAAGGCTGCCAGGAGCCTGTAAGTTTTTTCCGCTCCAACTGAGACACATCTATGATTTCATTTTAAGCCTCTTTTTGTTAACTGTATACAGTTGGCATATGAGATTCAATAAACCTTATTTGTAAGAAAATATGTTCATCCTCTCTTCAGTAACTTTGTTTCATTATACTGTTGGCATCAGGTGATTAAAGACATTTCTCTAAACTACTGACCACAAATGTTAAGCCTTTGTTTTGTGAATACACAAAACAAAGTTAAAATCCAACTACCAGGAGATTATTTAGTATTATTGAGTAAAGAAAAAAAAACTCAATAATTTGAACCTCACTTATTCAAGGAGGTACTAGACTGAACTTGGTACTTTGTAAAAAAAGATTTTTTTCTAGGAAAATTAATAGGCTTAGAATTAGAGGGTATGTAATTAAGTTATTTAAATTATTTAAGTGTTTAAACAGATATTTCTCATATAACAAATCATTCCAAACCAGTTATTAAAGCAAAGCTCTTCTAAAACAACTTAGCCCACAATTTACTATCCTACTTGAAATGAAGTAGGATAATTAGTAAATTGTCTGAATGATATCCATCCTTAAAACATTTTACTAATGCTAAACACCACCATTTCCATTTCTTCTTAATTAGTAAGTTTTGACAATTTTCTAAATTCTATTTTTGACAAATCCGCAGAACAACCTTTTACCTTACTTGTAAACATCATTATGACAATGTTATAGCAAAAGTTAAGGTTTTTTTTACTTTAAAAGAAACTTTTGGCCAGGAGTGATGGCTCCTGCCTGTAATCCCAGCACTTTTGGAGGCCGAGGCAGGCAGGAGATCAAGACCATCTTGGCTAACACAGTGAAATCCCATCTGTACTAAAAGTACAAAAAATTAGCCAGGCGTGGTGGCGGGTGCCTGTAGTCCCAGCTACTCGAGAGGCTGAGGCAGGAGAATGGCGTGAACCCGGGGCAGAGCTTGCAGTGAGCCGAGATCACCCCACTGCACTCCAGCCTGGGCGACAGAGCGAGACTACATCTCAAAAAAAAAAAGAAACTTTTAGAAGGAACATAATCCCTTACAAATGCATAATAGGCATAGATCAAAGGACCACTCTATTTTGATACTGGTATTATGATGTGCTTTAGAAGGTGAGTGCTTTTTGTTTTTCTCTGATGACAATCGGGTAAGTTCAGCTCAACAGTTGAAGAAATATTTTTGCGTTTTTACAATGTGACAAACACCATGCTAGGTGCAAGAAAATTGAAGATGAATTATACGCAGTCCTAATGCTCCAGAATCTTTGGTCTCAATGCATTACTATTCAGGGCCCCAAATTCTTTGATTAAGGGATGCTCAAAGGATGCAGTTTGGAGAGAAAGACAGGTCTGCCTGCAGGAGGTGTGAACAGAGCTGAACGATGAAAGGAAATTGGAACATATTCCCTTTTATCATTGTACCTTCTGCTCTGTCAGAAGAGGACTCTGACACATTTCTGAAACTTTCTCCCACTTTAAATACTCAGCAGAGACCGCACCCCACCTCCCCCGCCCCTCACCCTGTGCCCCGCCTGGGGCCTCTTCCATAGCAACAAACAGGTTTATCTGTTTCCAAAGGGATCCATAAGGAGCCTTTGGGCTTGTGTCCTTCTTATGTTCCAGAAGTTGTTACATACTGTGCTGTGAACTTTAAGGTAACTTACTCAGCTTCAACATCTAGCTTCAGCATCCTGCTCAGAAGTTACAACACACCTGCAGAGAGCCGTAAATAACATTTCCATCACCCTTTGGGCCCATGGAAATGGGTAATTGGGAAAAAGAAAAAGAAAGACACTCACCTAATAGTTTTGTGAGCATGGATGATATGTTTGTACAACATGAGGAAAGGAATCCTAGGTTTTGGTTAGAGTTTTCATAGTTTCTCAGTATTGTATTTCTCAATATTAGGGACATGAAATCAGGGACTTAGATTTTTTTTCTGTTAATTAAAAGGCAGGGAAGGAAATGCAGAGCACATCTGTTGGGCAGTTGCCACCTGAGCTTTGCCAGTAATTTGGCAGCTCTGAACCCAAGGGGTATGGCCTCAGCAGTCAGTTTCACTCCCACTGTGGTTGTCCTCCCACCCCCTGGGGGTGAAGAAGGAAGAAAAGGAGTGAAATCAGCTTTCTTTCCCTCCTTGCCCAGAGTTCATTATTACCTTCTGACTGTCCTAAGTAATCTTGGGATTGTAAGGTCATTACAGCACCTGAGCAGGTGGCTATGGAGGAAGGGCCACTGGCTTTGAATGAATCGGCTGGGTTCAGGTTTTGGATCTGCCTTTTGTTTGGTCTGTAACTGTGGCCCAGTCAAGTGCTGTGTTTGCAGCCATTTCCTCATCTGTAACATTGCAATGGTGCTACCTACCTCCCTGGGTTCAGAGGGAATGAAATGAAATTATGTAGCGTCTTTACGCAGGAGGATGAAAAATAGGAAAACAGTGTTTTCCGGAGCTGTTGAGAAATGTTTAATAAACATTGATTGAGATCCAGGCATGGTGGCTCACACCTGTAATCCCAGCACTTTGGGAGGCCTAGGTGGGTTGATCACTTGAGCCCAGGAGTTCGAAACCAGCCTGACCAACATGGAGAGACCCTGTCTCTACAAAAAATAAAAAAATTAGCCGGGCATGGTGGCACACTTCTGTAGTTTCAGCTACTTGGGAGGCTGAGACTGGAGAATCACTTGAACCCAGGAGATGGAGGTTGCAGTGAGCCAAGATCACGCCAGCACAGCCTGGGTGATAGAGAGTGAGACTCTGTCTCAAGGAACAAATAACAAAAACATTGATTGAGTGAAGGAATGACTTAGCGAATGAATTAGTGAGAACGACATTGATGATATTAAACTTCCATATTGCCTATGGCAAGACAGTCCCAGGTTTTCTTTTCTTTTTTTTTCTTGAGACGGAGTCTCGCTCTGTCACTCAGGCTGGAGTGCAGTGGCGTGATCTTGACTCACTGAGATCACCTCCACCTCCCAGGTTCTAGCGATTCTCCTGCTTCAGCCTCCCAAGTAGCTGGGATTACAGGTGCCCACCACCACGCCCAGCTAATTTTTGTATATTTATAGAGACGGTCTTCACCATGTTGTCCAGGCTGGTCTTGAACTCCTGACCCCAGGCGATCTGCCCGCCTTGGCCTCCGTAAGTGCTGGGATTACAGGTGTGAGCCACCGTGCCAGCTAGTCCCAGGTTTTCATTCAACTGCCAGGGAATAACAAAATGCTCCTTTCCCCCAGGTGTGGCACCCTCCGTGGAAGCCTTTGACAAGCTGATGAACAGTATGGTGGCCGAGTTTTTAAAGAACAGTAGGATCCTTGCTGGGGATGTGGAGACCCACGTAAGTACTTTCCTCCCCTGTTCTCAGTGGAGAGTTTAAACTTACCAGCCCAGCCTCTGACAACTCTAAACAGCCTGAGGAGATCTTTATTTATTTGTTTTTTTACTCTGGCTAGGCAGATGGTGGCTAAAACATTCATTTGCCCATTCATTCATTTAATTGTTCCTGCAACGCCTATGGATAGAGACTTGCCGGGCACTGTTCTGGAAGCTAGAAGCATGGGGATGAACAAGATAGGCCACATCCTGCTCTCACAGAACTTCCACTTTAGTCTGGGAAACAGATGATATATACAAATATATAAACGAATTCAGGTAGTGTTAAGTACGAAAAGAATAAGAAAGCAGGGTCATGATTTAGAGTGCTGGAAGCAGGGATACTGCTTGAGATAGGAAGGTGTATCTGAGGTGACACTGAGCAGAGACCTGATGGAGAGAGGTAGTGAGCTGTGGAGAGATGTGGGGAAGAGAGTTCCAGGCAGAGGGAACAGCAAGAGCAAAGGCTCAGAGCAAGCGTGGTGGTTCCCAGCAGAACAGAACGTCTGGGAGAAGATAAGGGAGAAGGATAACAAGGGCTCAGAGTACAACATGCTCTTCTAGTCACAGTGAGGGACTTGACTCTCCTTCCCACTGTGATGGGAAACCACCTGGGGTCACCGGGCAGAGGACTCAGGGTGATTTGATTTATGCTTTAAAAAAGTTCCCCTGGTTGAGCTGACTCAGTCACCAGCCACCCTTCTTCTTTTTCTAAAATGTGGCCTGAGGATATCACCGCACATCCATTGGGATGGCTACTATCCAAAGAACAGGAATTAACAAGTACTGGTTAGGATGGGGAGAAGCTGGAGCCTCTATGCACTGTTGGTGGGAATGTAAAGTGGTGCAGGCATGGTGGAAAACAGAATGTTGACTCCTCAAAAAAAAAAAAAAAAAAAAGAACTACCATATGATCCAACAATTTCACTTCTATGTATATCCCCCAAATTTAAAAGCAGCATCTCCAAGAGACACCCATGTTCATAGCAGCATTATTCACAATAGCCACGAGGTGGAAGCAACTCCACTGTGCACTGACAGATGCACTAAATGTGGTCTTTACATACAATGGAATATTATTCACCCTTGAAAAGGAAGGAAATGCCGTTACATGTTGTAATATGGATGAACCTTGAGGACATGATGCTAAGTGAAATAAGCCAGACACAAAAAGACAAATACTGTATGATTCCACTTATTTGCAGTGCCTGGGGTGGTCAAATTTGTGGGGATAAAGTAGAATGGTGTTTGCCAGAGGCTGGAGGGAGCAGAGAATAGGAAATTGTTCAATGAGTGCAGAGTTTCAGTTTTCCAAGGTTAAAAAGTTCTGGAGATTGTACAACAATATGAATATACTTAACACTACTGAGCTATACACTGACAATGGTTAAGATGGTAAATTTTATGTTATGTGTATCTTACTCTAATTTTGAATAAAGTAGAGCCTGAGGAAAAGCAAAAACACAGAGTTTGATAATCTCTGGATTGGAAGAGAACTTTAAAGCTACCTAAGCTAGCCTGCCAGTTTTAGACACTTTTCGTATTTTAAAACATATTAGCATCATCTCCGGGGTTAGTCATTGTTTGCATGCATTTAGTGAAAATCTAATGTGATAGCCAAACCAATTAAAAACATAAAAAGACATTTGTCGCTGGATTCTTCTTTTTCTTTGACCTTTGTTTCTCACTAAGGATTGAATTCCAAATCCACCTACCTATAGATTTCTCAGCAACAGCACAATCCTGGCAAAACCATTTTCAGTATAGATTCACAGAAAATCTGATTCTTCAATAAAGTTGTCGTTTGGGGCTTAACAAAAAAGTATAAAGGGATTCTCTCTTTGCTCCCCTCCCAATTAGACATCATATGCAACACACAACACCAGTCTCCCAGGGGATCCAGTGACTCCGGTTATGCCAGAGGCTCCAAGATTGTAATTAAATAGGTGCTTATCTCATCATATTGCAATGTATTTGTTTGCCACATCTGAGAAAAACAAAGATACTTCTCCATTTCTGTTGAAGTACACCCCTTGGTGAAAGAGACAAGCCTTGATATATATGAGTTCTGGAAAAACCTGGGCACTAAGAAGCGTCCGCATCAAATATATCCCACAGCTCTATCGTTACTACTCTAGTCTGTTCTTTTCCTCAGTGTTTTTGTTTACAAGAAACCTTGTACGTAGCAAGAGAGTGGCTGAGCCTCTTATATTCTGAGACATGATAACTCCTGAATGCTAGCATACACAAAGGAATATTATCTGTAATACACTGAAAAAGATGCTTGAGTGATTAATGAACATTTTCTCTCTTCAACACTATCACAGTAATCATTGTATCACTATGGTTACTATTAATTAATGTCAACATTAGGCTTCTGAGGTACGCAGTACATTATAACTCATTAGGAGTATCTCAAAAATTCTAGATAGAAACTTTTTATAGGAGAATAATGAGGCCTATAAATAAGTGTATTTAACTTTGCCTTTTTTTAAAAAGATTTGCGTGCTGTCTTCAAATTGCACAGTAAACAGTCCCTTTAAGTTCTTTTTAGAATAAAGTGAGATATAAAGTGTAGCTTGATTAATATTAAGTTTTTCATCTCTTCATTCATCAGGCTGTAAACAGGATGACTCAGATTAAGGAATATTCTCAATAATGAATATGTAATGCTTAAGGAAATGTTATGTTCTCACTAGTTTTTAAAAAATAGAGGAAAGGAAGGAAAATAATAAAAGAGGGAAGGAAGAAAGACAAGCAAGAAAGAGAGAAAGAAAGAAACACTTGTCATCTGAAAGTTTAGACTCCAGCTCTACAACACAAAGAAAAGTACAGGCAGCTATAGTCCATCTGCCCATGACTTTAATACTTTGAACATGCTGTTTATTTTTTCTCTGGCTTATAGAACCATGTGTCATTGGCATTAAGCTTGCAGCTGTTGCCTCTCACATCAGCCAGAAGTGGGGGCTGAACTTTAATCCAAGAACACACCTGTTGCCTAGAAAAAAAGCCCTCACATACCTGATTGTACAGGATGGAAATTTGAGAGTGACACAAATGTGCATCATGTTAAATCCTGTGCCTGGGCTTAAAAGCCATTTCACAGATACCAGTAAGGAATAAGGGCAGCCAAGCTATGATTTAACGTCTGTCTCGATGTGTTGGCTGCTGGTTGGGTTTAATTTACTGAACACTCAATAGTCTATTGACAGAACGGACCACAAAAAAGGGGAACTAATAGCTACAATTAGGAATCTCTGCTGAACCAAAGAGCATAACAAGTTTAGAAAAGATTAGATCTTGTAAAGCCTTCTTGTGTGCAACCTAAACCAAAGGACTTGTTTAAACTACTTAACCCAAGAACCATGACACAGCTTGCACCCCTTTTAAAAAACAATAGATAATTGTATGCATAATTGCATACATGCATGATTTTATAATAGATGTTGGGTAAATAGAGTTCTCAATGTCAAGAAGCAGATCCTCTAGAAACTGGGCCTATATAAGACCTAGCCCTTGGTTGGACATCATTTATCCATAAATAGATTTATGTGATTTGGGTTTTTTTTTTTTTTTTTTTTTGAGACAGAATCTCGCTCTGTCACCCAGGCTAGAGTGCAGTGGCATGATTTTGGCTCACTACAAGCTCCGTTAACTGGGTTCATGCCATTCTCCTGCCTCAGCTTCCTGAGTAGCTGGGATTTCAGGTGCCCACCACCATGCCCGGCTAATTTTTTTGTATTTTTAGTAGAGACAGGGTTTCAAAGTGTTAGCCAGGATGGTCTCGATCTCCTGACCTCGTGATCAGCCAGTCCGCCCGCCTCCGCCTCCCAAAGTGCTGGGATTGCAGGCGTGAGCCACCGTGCCCTGCCCATTGGGGGTTATTTTTTAACAAAGCTATCCTATTGTTAGGAATCATGGTGGAACTGATCTCAGGTCTATTTCTAACTGATGTGACAAATGTGAAGCAGCTGCACATCATAGCTTTTCCTAACCCAAGTCCTTTTTGGAGATTTCTAAAACTTACATTTTAAATGTTTCTGGGAATCTGGAATATTTATTTCCTGTTCTTGATTGAAATGGATTTAAAAAACTGTTATTACCACATGCTCTCACTAGTAAGTGGGAGCTAAACATTGAGAACACATGGTCACAAAGAAGGGGATAACAGACAGTGGGCCAACTGGGTGGTGGAGGGTGGAAAAAGGGTGAGGATCAGAAAGTACCTGTCGGGTGCTATGCTCATCACTCGGGCGATGAAATAATCTGTACACCAAACCTCCGCGACACAAATTTACCTACATAACAAACCTGTATGTGTACCCCTGAACCTAAACTAGAAGTTTAAAAAAAGATAGCATTTAAAAAAATAATTCTTATTAATTATTTAAAATGAAAGAACCACAATTTGAACAAAAGGGCAATAAAATTCAACTAAACGTAACACACATAAAGCATACTATGATTAAATCACATGCTGCACAATATTCTGTCCTTGAGTTCCCTGACTTCTATAAAGGATGAACATGATCAGAAAGTTATTAGAGCCTCACTTTTGATGGGTCACGGTCACTATGCTGGATGTCCCTAGTCTTTACCATTTATTTAAATCATCTACAAAATAGGTTGCTCATTTTGTACCATGCTGTTCAGTTAATGAGTTCAAAGAGTGGCAAAAAGAGAAGTCCCTCTTCCTCTGACTTGCACTGGCAGTTTGTATTAATATTTGGAGTTAGAGTGGCCTTGCTTTTGACAGCATGACCTTGAGCTAGTCCCTTCATCTCCTTAACGAGGCAGGACGACATAATTTATCAGGGCCTCTGGCTCCCAATAGCCCATGCACCTGACTCATCAGTTCTCTCAGCCTGAAAGCATGAGGGAGCCATTCGGTTTCCAAATGAAGAGCTTGCAATAGTGTGGCCTCACCACCATTATAAAGAGCATCTTCAGCCATGCCAGGGAAGA